TTTATTTATAATGAATTTTTCTCTATAGATTTGAATTCTGATAAACATATGGGAAAGTCATTTAGTTATTAAGCCAATGTTATCACGGATATGCTTAAATGTTCAAACTACCGAAAAATTAAAAATTTACCACGTTTGATTGTTTAAACTCCCTTCTTCCCCTCTAAGTAAATGAATTTAAATCGGACCGAATACGGACCGAGAAAATCAATTTCTGAAAAAGGCAATAATATTGATGGGTATATTTTGAGGTAATCACCAATATCTTTCTAATACAATCCAAAATGAGATTTGCATAATCACGAAGAAAATTTCCGCATTAAACATATCTTGACTTTATCAGGCAATCATAAACATGATCAAAGCGAAATGCTCAATTCTATGAATTGCTTTTATATAATAAGAAGGATATAATAGCAATTCTCGGTATTAATGGCATTGTAAATCAAGTAATATTGCGACAAAGAAAGAAAAAACGTTGCTGATTCACATGAGTTGATATTAATGTTGGTGGGGGTCATAATGCCAATACAGGAAAATCTTAAAATATATGGTAAATTAATTTCAAAACTATGGCAAAACGGTAAAACTTTTACGAAGCATTAAAATCATGCGGAACTTTAAAATTATTGCGAAACATTTAAAACATTAAAACTATCGCATTGCATTAAATAAGATACATTCTAACATTTAATTGTTTAATAATTTATTTTATATAAAATCACATATTCAAGCATGCATCATTATGCAATTTGTTATATAACGAATTAGGAATCTGAGCTGATAAGTTTTCATAATAGAACACCATATCTTTGTATAAAAATATGCAAATAATTTAAACAATTATTAAGACATTTTTTATTTAAGCAATTTATTTGATATATAATAATAAGAAAAAAAAATTACAAATATAAAAAATAAAAATAATAATTAAAATAATAATTAAAATAAATTTAAAAATCTGATTTTCCATAATTTCTGCTTCTTTTTCTATTGTTTTGCAGGTTTTTTCAGTTAAAATAATAGCACTGGTATATTGAATACTACTTTACTTAAATTAAGTTTAGCTATATCATGTATAGCTAACATTATATAGAATTTGATATCATTTTAATAGCAACATCATATTCAGGATAAATAAAATATTCTTCTTTAACTAAACCAAATTCAAATATAAACCCATTGCAAATTTTGATCATTCTTTTCCCAATGTCCTGCAGCTTCATTGATATTAAATATATCAAAAAATAAGTTAGTAATCAGGTTATTAGATTACAAATCAGTATTCAGCCTATAATTAAATATTAAATTATAAACTAGAATCAGATTATAGTTGGATATTAGATAATAATAATCTAATCTAAGTAATATACTAATTTTAATATATATACTAAAAACTAGTATATTATTTAACTTAGCTATTAAATTACTTATAAACAAATAAATTAAATAATAATCAAGAAATATTTATTATATTGTAATAAATATATTTAACTAATAATAAATATATTATTTTTTTAAATTAATAATAATATTATTAAAATTTTTATTTAAATTTAAAAATTTTACTATTGATAAATTTGTTATTAAATTTATTTTTAAAAAATTTATTACATTAATTTTTATAATACTTGAAATTTGCTATTAAAATAATACTTATACTAGATTTTAATATTAAAAGTATTTTAATAAATAAAATATTTAGTTAAAAATCTATTTTTTAAAATACCAAGTATACCAAAATATTTAATCATAATAAAACTATTTAATTATATTAAAATATTTAACGTTTTCAGTAAAATCACATTATAGATCATATGATTTACTATAACTCATGACTTGATTTTTCCCATAAATAATCTTTAGTATTTTTTAAATAATATAAAACAATTAAATTAAAACCAAAATATATTAAAAGTAACTAATTCATTTTTTTGATAAGTTATATAAAAATTAATTTTTATATAAATAAATAATACAAATAATAATTATCAAAACAAATTAGTTTTGCTGGAATTAATAATTCATAAATATAATAATTAATTAAATTAGATCTATAATTTATTTCTATTATCAACTAACAAAAGTATTATTCTTATTTAAATTAGTTAAAATTGATTTGATACGAATCTCATTTCGATTACCAAGTTGTAATAATCCGGCCTAACCTTATTTTTACTAATAAATTTATTGAATTCTTACTTTTAAAAGTTGTAAAATACAAAAAAAAAAAAAATTATTTTTTTTGAATCTATTAATATCTTTTAAAATATAAACTGATCTCTATGAATAAATAATTATTTACCTTTAGTTATATAATATTTGTTATTTTCTAATATGTATATTTATATAGTATATATTAAAATGAAAATAATGTTTAATCAACACTAAACTAAATATATTTACAAAAAAATTCACTTGAATTACAAACTAACCTCGAACTTAAGTACAATATATATATATAAAAGGAAGAAAATGAAAACTATAAACAAAAACTCTACGTTCATATTTTTTTTTTTTTAAAAGAAAAATTGCAAGACAAATTTTCATTTTTCGTTATCCTAGCCATTTTCCAGTAGTTGGTTGACGACTAATTCGTGTTGGAATAACAGATTCTTTAATTTCATATACTTCAACAAGCTCCTTTAAAATATTTATATTAAAAAAAATGATTTAATAAATATGATTGAATTTCCGAAGTAGAAATATAATTTTATTATTTACCCGCCATGTACTCATATCAATTTCCATCACTAATTGTTTTTTAATTAAACCATCTGCGTAATTGTCAGCAGTCGGTGGTTCACATAATGCTAATTAATTAAATAACAAATAATTAAAATAAATTAAGAAAATTAAAAATTAAAAATTTTAAATATACTTACTTAGAACAGGTTGTCCAGATTCATCATCATCTATATTTACTTTGCCGTCACGTACCAAAAACGACAAATAAAATAAATTTTCAACAGTTTGACCAAAGGATTCAGGATTAATGATAAATACAAAGAAATTTATCGGCTGTTCTTCGCCCAAAATGTCAAAAATCATTTTAACATTTCTTGTCGTCTCATTCTCTTGTCTTTCGATATCCTTTTCTTTTAGCTATTGAGATAATAGTATTATATGCTAGTTCCGATTATTCACATATCAATTGATATTTTCCAATGAATCATATTTGTATACCTGTTGAGGTTCTCTCATGGCATTTTTATCTTTATTCAAGGAATGTCGTATTTTTTTTTCACGCTCTTTAGTTTCAACAGAAAGAGGACCAAGCCTAAAAATAACGAAAGGGTTCATTTGTGAAGATACTATATAGAATTGTCCTTATCGAACTATATACTCACATAAAATCACTTGCTGGCACCCGATTCGTAAATTTTGCAGCTAATCTTCCAATTGATTTCCAATCCAAATCCGGAACATCACTATCTAATTGTCTGCCGCCCATAAATGTAATTAATTTTGACACATAATTATCAACATCAAAAGAATTGTTATCCAATTTCATACGACGAGCTTTTTGTACTCCCAGATCACTTGTCAATACTAAAAGGCGCGAATCTAGTGTCGCTTCATGCGTATTCTTGACTGTTTCAAATTAAAGACAAGATTTTTTTTTTGTTTAATATATTGTAAAATAATAAATATTTATTTTATTCTTTTTAAAAAAAAATTTACCTCTCTGATGCAGTTCATTTGCCTTTGCAATATTGTTGGAGAGACCATCCGATTCAGATCTCAGGTACTCTAGTCTGTTCTCTATAAATAAAAACAATAATGTATAATTCGTAAATTGATTATATCCAACTTTGTTTGATTCGAATAAATATTTAAGAACTCAAAATAACCTTCTGTAGAATTTATAAGATTTCTATACTCTCTTCGCAACCATCGTTTTTCGTCTTTGTCCTGATCTGGATCGTAGGAATTACTCCCAAGAATTTCATCGAGTATTGCGGAAGATGCAACCGATTCGTCTCCCTCTTGTTCATCATTTACAATGTCCATTGCATTTTCTTTATCCGAGTCATTAAACATAGATTGTGAACCTACAGTTCCGACAGAAGTCATTTCGCCTATAAGACAAGCTATAAACTTTATGAAAACAAAATGATCCAAGTTGAACGCGTATATACAATTATTTTACCAGTCATAAAATTACGCGTATAAAAATAGTGCACAAAATCGATAAATCTATTTTAAATAATTAGATTCTAAATTTGGAAAGTATTGACCAAGATATCACAGAATTTCGCTGTATTGATTCCGAAGAGAGTTTAGACTGATGTAAAATTAATAACGAATTAAGTAACAATCAATCTATTTTTGAGACCTTTTTTTTTTGTGAAACTCGAATTCGTTTGTTCATGATTGACATTCGAATTGATATATTTATTTGTATACAAAAAGTAAATATGTTTATTTATTGTTTTTATTTTTTCATTTTTAAATCGAAATATGGTACATCTTACCTATAATCCAAACATAGATTCTCGGTATATCATGTGACTTCGCATCACTGTAATTTATTTCTATAATCATATAACACCATACTTTCATCAAATCAATGAAATCTAAAGCTTGCCAGAATATTAATTACAATTTTTATGAGCAAATATTTAACCCTCCAATATCTCTTGATAAAGTTAAGTCTACTATGGGTTCGCTCTAGTTTAATCCTTATAATAGTTGAACTGAACAAAACCGGTTTTTTTTAATTTAATTAATCCAGTTCTAAATAATCGATAAATTTTTAATGTTTATAAATATATTTAATTACAGTATAATTTAAAAAAAAATTTACATATTTATTATAAGAAATAATATAATAAAATTATTGTTATTTTCACAACTTATTAGTTATCCAGCTTTTCATACATAAACAAGCTCTTGCTGTTTCTTGTCTTTTTGATACTCTTTCAGAAGGTACTGTATTTTTCAGATTTTTACTTATTTTTTCATAATAAAAGACTTTTCTTTCTTTTAATAAGGGAAGTGGTTTTTCAGGACTCTTTCAAGAGGTAATTTTCAGCTTTTCTTATTTTATATTAATGAACCTTCTTTCTTTTAAATAAGATAAGCAGCTTTTCAGGACTTTTGTAATTAGATAAGTATCACTAATAATTATTCTATTTTACAATTTAGCTTAGTCTGAATTATTTTAAATTTAATGCTTCTCTATTTTTTTATTAAATAAAATAACAAAATTTATTACAATTTTTATAAGTAATCTAACTAACTTTCTTGACTAATCTATATGCGAGCTTTACAGTAGAAAGTGAAGAAACTCTTAAAAAATTAAATTTTACTTTATAAGCTAAATATGATTTTTTTTAGTTAAATAAGTCCAGATTTAACATTATCTTTAAAAAATTTTTTTTTAGAGTTTTCTCTCTTTCTACAAAGCTCCAATATATATTAATAAAATCTAATCTCATTTACTATTAAGATAGATTATCAGATAAAAATTAGCTTTTATAAGTAATTTATCTTATTCTAAATTTTTACTTAAATCTTATTAATATTTCAATTGTCTTTTTAAATTTGTATATAATCTTACCTTATAATTTTACAAAAATTTATTATATAATTTAAATCAAATAAAATAATAAAATATATTATTATATGAAAGCTTTGCAATAGAAAGAGAGGAAACTCTAAAAAAATTAAAATTTTACTTTCTAAGCTAATTATGATTTTTTTTTGTAAAATAAGTTTAGATTTAACATTAACTCAAAAAAAATTTTTTTTAGAGTTTTCTCCCTTTCTATTGCAAGGCTCCCATATCAATTTTATTTATTTAAATTATTTATAAATTAATTTATATGTTAATATTATATTATTTCTAATAAATTATTTTTAAAATATTCATAATTAGTTTTTAATAAAAAAATTTTTTTTACTATTACTACTATTAAGTATAAGTATTTCTAAATAATTAATAAGTAATACCTTATTAAAATAATAAATAATATCTATAATTGATTGACATATAAAATAATTTCTAGTAAATACTGATAAAAAATAACAGAAATAAATAAAAAGGATCTATAAAATTCACATTAGAATTCACAAATAAATGCTAATCATTAATTTTTTGATACCTAGTAAGAAATTAACCAATAAAAAGCATTTTATTTATATATACAATAATAAATTCTTAATTTTTAATATGTATTTTTCAGATACATTAGCACTTTCTAAATTTTATACTATTATAAAAAAATAATAATTAATTATTTCATTCAAATTAATATTATAAATAATAGTATATTACCTAAAATTGTTTTAATAATTTTAATTTTTTTTATTTTCTAATAATTAAAATTTAGTCAGCTTTTAACATAAGAATATTATTTTAAAGGTTATATACAAACTTATTTCTTTTGATTCTATTTTATGAATCCTCATCTAAATTTACAATTAAATGAATCTAAATTCTATATAAATGATCAATTCTTAAAAAAAATGTATTGTGTAATTCACATATATTTGATGTTTTTAATACATCTAATTTATTATTATCATCAAATAAGAGTTTTTCAGATTCAGCTACTCTAGTTACTCTAAATAATAATTTTTACCTTTTTTTGATTATTTATAAGGTAATTAATCTGATTAGAATTATTTATCTAATTAATTTAATCAGATGTATATTATTCTAAACTTTTATCATTAAAAAGTTTATTATTATTATCAGAAAATTAAAGTTTTTTATGTTGGTTAATTTATACTATGTGAGATATCTTATTTGCTATATCAACTAATTGTTTATTTTTAGATAATAAGTTATTATTTGCATTAAAATTAGTTGTTTGTTCTTTTATATATTTAATTATTATCTTCACATGAGAATTATCAATATATACAAAAATGCATAAGTTTGTTTCAAAGTTTGATAGAGTAATTAAATATGCAAAATGTTTAGCATTAATATAAACAATTTAATAATTTTATAAATTTTATCTTGTATTAGCTATTAACATAAAAATTCAAATAAATTAACACTTATATTATTTGAATTCAAATCCTTAATTACAAATATATAATGAGTAAAAGTAAATAATATCAAATAATAATTAAATTAAATTAGATTCACGCCTATTGCTAAAACATTTGTTTATATTAAAGTCTTCAATTTAAAGAATTTTGTTAAAATGCATAATATGCCAAAGAATTTTAAAAATTATAAATAGCAAAATCTAAAATTAATTAATATGTCAATTTAAACACATATTTTAAAGCTTTTATTTCATATTTTATAGCAGTATTTGATAGTCAACATAATAATAACAATGTGAAATAATTAATAAAACTAAGGATTTAGCAAAACTTTAAATATATGATAACTCTAAATTAAAATAAAACTTTGATTATAGAATACTATTCTTTTGAAATTTTTTCTCTAGCTTTTTAATATAAGATTTTCAAAAGTTAAGAAAAAAATAGGCATATATGACTAGTAATATAATTAATTATAAATTCAAATAAGCATTGAAAAGTTTGTCTAGATAAAAAATATTCAATTAAAAAATTTATTAAATTTTATTATCATTTATTTAAAACAAATAGATATACAATAAACCAAGTTTTTTTAGATCAATAACTCTATTATCTTGATATATTTCAAACAATTATAAATGAAATATATAAAATATTGTTCTATCATACTATTTGTCAATATTGTAAATATTATAAATGCAATGCCTAGAATTTTTCTTTTTTATAAGATTGCAAAATTAATCATAATGAACTATACTTAAGGTTGTTTGTCTAAACTCATTTTGGATTTGGCTAAATGTTTAACCCTTTAGTTTTGCTAAATTTTTATTAAGTATTTGATATATTTTCGCTATTTTTATAAGCTTTGATATAATTTTACCTTTTTCTGAATTTTGCAGATTTTTTTAATAAGATTTTAATATAATTTAACCAAGTTTTACCTTTACCATTTAGACGTCTGTCTAAATTCTGGATTTTATCCAGCAACCTTAACTATACTATTTTCAAATATTATTATTTTTGTATCTAAAACTCTTAAAATAATTTGAAATAAAAAAAAAGACTTTAATGATAACTTTTACTTCTGAAATTCTTGAGATAATTTGAAATTTAAGAAAAATAAATATGCCTTTTTTAAAAAATTTAAATACTTAATAATATTCATAAGTTTGGATTTTTAAAAATTATTTTATTTAGAATATATTAAGAATTTATGTTAAATAAAATTTTTGGATTATTTTTTGATTTCAAATTTCTATTATATGATAATTTGAAAATAATTTATAACTTGTTTTTTTTATACTATAACTAAACTATTATAGTATCTATATAATGATTACTTCATTTTTTATAATGTTTATATTTATTTAATAGATTATAATATTAAATCTTTTTAAATATTTATATTATAATTATAAGTATTTTTTAATTATTGTGCAGTATCATAATTAATTATTGCTTAATTATTATATAATATCTTTATCTCTTTTAGTAATCCTAATTTTTTTAGCTTCATTATATGTTGCATTATAGATCATCCTTCTCTTCATAAACTATTTGGATATAGTATATATTGATTACTTATATTGCATTATATTGATTACATATTTCTGTGTCAGATTTTCTTTTACTACATAGTATTTAGATTTTAATAAGCTTAATAAGAGGTTATTTTAAATTAATAATAATTTTAAACATTTTTTGTTATATTAAATACAAGTTTAAATATAAAGAAATCTTTAAATTTAATATTATATTAAATACATAATTAAGAATTATCAAAAATTAGTGAATGATATTTTTTGAGGATTTTATTATAGAAAGTATTTTTAATAGTCTTTGTATTTTCTTTTTCTTAATTGTTGATGTTTCAAAAGATATAACTAAATGAGCAATATTATTAGTAATGCAAAAATCAGTAACAGTTCAATTAATATTAGCTAAAATATATTTGTAATTAATTTTAAGATTCAAAAATAAAACTAGAAATTTTTAGTATATAAATTTCTTTAATAAAGGATTAAATAGAAAAGGTTATAGCTAATTGATTAAAATATAGTATGATATAA